TATCTATCTCCTACTGTTAGCTTTATATTTGAAATTGGAGAAACAAAGTATGGAGCAGTATTATTAGATTAGAATTTCTAAACATTGCTAACTATCTCAAAATTAAGGTTATAGTCATTTTAAAAGCTTTTAAAACTCTCAATATCAGCACTGACTTCAACAGTAAAGGATAATTAATGCTTGCCTATTATGTTTGGATCGCTTACTTTAATGCCTATCTAAAACTAAGACAATTTATCAGTCAGAATAATAGAACCCAATCTCGAATCATTAATAGGTCCAAATGAAATTGATTAGATAAAGCACTCTTGATTGGGTTAGAATTACATTTGTTCAAGTTGATAATATATAGGCTCTGTTGATATAAAGTGTCTAATTTTAGGTATATTTATTTTTTTAGTAATCTTGTAATTGTAAAGGCAGTCACTTGTCAAATTCAGTTGGAAATAATTACTCATTAAAATCCACTCATTTGTTTAATCTGAGATCTTATAGGAAATATTGAATTAATAAAGGCCAGAATATCAAGAATCATTAAGTTTGAAGGATATATTTAACTATTAGAAGCTTCCAAGACCACCACTTTGATTTTAAAGGACTTATTCTAATGCATTTGAGAAAGTTTAATTATCAACTATGATTTCAAATTTGTATTAATTACTCCTTTCATCTATGCATTGGTTTACAAGGCTGTAATTTGAATCTATTAAGTTGCATTAACTTCCTATATAGCAAACTTTGTTTGGTATTGTATAATGCTAGACTGATAAATTGGATACAATGATATCTTTTTGTGTCTTATTATCTTGATACTCCCATAGATTGACATATGGCAATAGATCTTTTATAACTATTATTGTAAGGCTAGTCCATATTTGTTATTTTGAAGGAGAAACAGAGACCTCTGTAAAACTAAATAAATTGGAGCTGTCCAGTTAAATTTTTTAATAAGATTTTGTATCACCATTCCCTTTAATTTCTTCAATAATACTGTAGTAGACAGATTTCAAGTAACTAGAAAAGTAGGCTTTCTATTTAGATTTGCTTTCATAGAGTTAACCAAGATGATAGTAGTCTTATTTATCATGAACATATCTGAAGTAACTCGCTACTAAAAATTTCCCTTTAAATTCAATTTTTTGTTCTAGAAGTTCTCCTTTAAAAATTTCAAAAGCAAAAGGATCCTATAAAATTTAGAATTAATAAAATCCGTCGTTAGCATTTGGGATTCTTGGCCTAAAAAATACCTAAAAATATGTAAAGTTAAATATAATATTACCTTTATATTGTCTTTAGCAATAACAGCAATTCCTAAACAGATAAATCCCGCTTGATTTTAATATTCATTTACATTTCGATATAAAATAGTATGTTTTTAAGAGGTTGTTTCATGTAAAATTACTCCAAAGAATGCCTCTGTGTTATTTTAAGATTCTAAACATCCTATCAAGTAATTATATTGATTCGAAAATTCTATTAAGGGAATAATGACATCATATACTACGAATGCATGAGCATGAATAGCTTTTATTGTATAATTGTTTGTTATATAATCACTGAGAAATATAAAGAAAATATTGTAAGTATTTTGATTCCTCTATAACTGGCTACCCCACAAGTAAACATCATGATTTTGAGGATTAAAGTATAGAGACTATAAGTAGCAAGAGTATGAATTGTTCAAAGAATGCTACTTTTTTATATCATTGAGATCCTTATGAATTATGACAAGGATTCCATTTCCTTCATAATCAACAAATAACAAATATACCAAACCATCTAATTATCTAACACTCATGATATTCGGCATAAATCGATTGAAAACGCCTACATAAGCAATCGTAGCTGAACTTTTGATAGTTCCTGCCAAATCATTTTTGAGTAAGACAAGACTCATTTAATCTAGGCCTGAAACATTTTAATTATAAGTGTTTTATCTTATCATACTGATCATACTACTGTTCTGCTGAAATTCTATAGCCTCTATGCTCCTTAGAATACTTTCCTTTTACTGATCTTTATAGTTAATTGAATTGAGCCACATGAATCTATTCATATTTTCCTTACTATTGTAAAGCCCAATCATTAAATCATTTCCATATACTCCGCCTACCGCAAAGTAATTATTTAGAGAGTGGTAGGCAATAGAAGTAAACGACTAAATTGTATTTTAACCATCCTATATCACTATGGGTAGTTGAAATTCGCTGAAGCATGATGGGACAGCTATGACTGACAATCTATTATTATATATTATCTTCCTCTCAGTAATGATGGCTACTTACAGCAGCATTTTAAAGCTGAGAAGAACTGCAAAACTATATAAATATTTTGAGTTATTGTCCATTTTTTATAAATACAAAGACTTAACTAGATTTAATATATAATACTATATATGATACTATATGCTCATATTGCCTAATTATTATATTTTTAATGCTGATGTTTTTATTTTTAAGATTTAAATACTAACTAGTTACTTGGCATTATGGGGTTTTGGGGTTTTGGGG